CGATCTCCACTCACTGCAACCTCCACTTCCTGGGTTCAAGTGATTCTCCTGCCTCAGCCTCCCAAGTAGCTGGGATTACAGGTGCATGCCACCACGCCTGGCTAAGTTTTGTATTTTTAGTAGAGACGGGGTTTCATCATGTTAGTCAGGCTAGTCTCCAACTCCTGATCTCAGGTGATCCACCTGCCTCAGCCTCCCAAAGTGCTAGGATTACAGACATGAGGCACCGCACCCAGCCCCTGTATTTTTTAAAAAAGGACTTTCAGGCCCGGTGCGGTGGCTCACACCTGTAATCCCAGCACTTTGGGAGGCTGAGGTGGGCAGATCTCAGATCTGCAGAGCTGAGATCTCACCACTGCACTCTACCCTGGGCGACAAGAGCAAAACCCGTCTCAGAAGAAAATTGAAATTAAAGTATATAAAAAAAGCACTTTTATGTGAGGCACGTGTAGCAGTTATACCTATTGTTATAAATTAGGAAACTGAAAAACAAATAATGGGACTTAAATCTTACAGTAAGCAGTGATGTCTAAACTAGAATCTAGATTCCCCAAAATCTAGGTATGAAGTCTTTTTATTTAACACACCTGTAGGTAATTCTATATAAATGTATTATTTGTCTTTTTTTTTCTTTTCAGTTGGAGTCTCGCTCTGTAGCAGACTGGAGTACAGTGGCGTGATCTCGGCTCACTGCAATCTCCGCCTCCTGGGTTCAAGCAATTTTCCTGCCTCAGCCTCCCGAGTAGCTGGGACTACAGGCACCCACCACCATGCCTGGCTACTTTTTGTATTTTTAGTAGAGACAGGGTTTCATCATATTGGCCAGGCTGGACTCGAACTTCTGACCTTGTGATCCACCCACCTTGGCCTCCCAAAGTGCTGGGATTATAGGTGTGAGCTACCACGCCTGGCCTATTTTTCTTTAAATCACAAAGAAATAGAATAGACATGTTTGCAGTAGGTAATATATACAATCATGTTAAAAAGAGACTTCATATTAATTCTAATCCTGCAAAAGCATTAACAATTTATCTTAAAGAAAAAGTCAATCAAGTTTCACATATTTTTATTTCTCCGTAAAAGTAACTTCACAACCTACTAAAAATAAAAATTTAACTGCATTCAGTTTCTGTTCATTTTTCTATTAAAGAAAGCACAAGATAAAGGATAGCTGTGTTCAAGTAATGTGTAATTATGACACACAGATTGAATCAAGTACGTACATAAAACGTTAAAACATGAAAATGTATAGTTCTCTTACCATTTCCTTTCTGAACTCATAAAATATAATCAGAAAAATTAAAAGAAACATGTTTTATTATTGTAACATATTTTATTTAATTAAAAATGTTTTGGTGTGTTAGCAATTTCTGTAAAGTAGCACTCCTTAAATAAGTTCCTAAAAATAATATTGGAGCCTTGAACATTTATCTTAGCTAAAAAAATTATTCTAAAACTGTCATGATAAAAAAGGTTACAAAATTTCTCTTTATTCTAGTTCTCAATTCCTTCTCCAGAATTTTAATACAAAAGGAATTTTCAGACACAAATAGTCACCAGATAATGCATACTATAATTTAGCAGACTTAACCAAACAATAAACACCCTTACAAAAGTGCCACTGTTGTATCACTTTGTGCTATACTCTTCTCCCTATACATCTTTAATAGTGGTCACTTCTACTTTACTTCTAGCATTCAATTTAGACATCTCAACCCCAAATTTAATAATTTATCAAAAATTTGTTTTGAGAACAAAATTTCTACAAATTATCTAACAAATCAAAGCAGAACCTTTAATTGTAGAACACAAACGAAAAATAATACACAAGAAAACTTATCTCTTCAACTTCAAGGCTAATACCTGGGTGTTGGAAAATTGGCCAAAGATAAATACATTTTACTATAAAGTATTTATTTTTCTGCACTGGGTCAAGATTTCTATTTTAAAAGATATGTTACTTATGATACTGTCATTTCAAAAAAGGGCTTTCCAAGAAGCCTTTAGTAAAGTTCTTCTATGCTGGGTATGTACTTGGTTCCTGTATGTTTCAGTCTGAACTATTTGAGAATTACTTATTTGTTGAACATAGTCTATTAGAAAAAAAATACTAAACCGCCGGGCGTGGTGGCTCATGCCTATAATAATCCCAGCACTTTGGGAGGCTGAGGTGGGTGGATCACCAGGTCAGGAGATGGAGACCATCCTGGCTAACATGGTGAAACCCCGTCTCTACTAAAAATACAAAAAAAATTAGCCGGGCCTGGTGGCGGGCGCCTGTAGTCCCAGCTACTCGGGAGGCTGAGGCAGGAGAATAGTGTGAACCCGGGAGGCGGAGCTTGCAGTGAGCCGATATTGCGCCACTGGACTCCACCCTGGGCGACAGAGCAAGACTCCATCTCAAAAAAAAAAAAGAAAAAGAAAAAGAAAAACATACTAAATCACAATTTTTATCAAATAGTTCAAAGTTTTCAACAATGTCTATAAATGTATTCTTATACACCTGTATTCCTGATAGTATTACTCTGTAGTACTTTCACAGCGAGTATATGAAGTTTCCTATTTTCTGGGGCAATATTCAGCATACTGAAAGTTAACTGCATTTAAAATCATTATAAACCAAAAAACATGTCAAATAGTATATCGTATTATTTTGTTTTTGTTTTTGTTTTTGTTTTGTTTTGAGAAACAGTCTTGCTCTATCCCCCACACTGGAGTGCAGTGGCGTGATCTCAGCTCCCTGCAACCTCTGCCTCCTGGGTTCAAGTGATTCTCCTGCCTCAGCCTCCTGAGTAGCTGGGACTACAGGTGCATGCCACTGCGCCCAGCTAACTTTTGTATTTTTAGTAGAGACAAGGTTTCACTGTGTTGGCCAGGCTGGTCTCAAATTCCTGACTACAGATGATCCACCTGCCTTGGCCTCCCCAAGTGCTGAGATTATAGGCATGAGGATTATCATATTCTAAATGGCAATTGAGCATTGAGACTATAAATAAGTCACAGCAGTAAAAATTAAACCTAAAAGAAAAATGTATCCAATGTGACACATTTTCAATATTTACAGAGCATCCTAAATATGGAATTTAAAAAAAATCACACAAGGTAGAAGCAAAAAATCTATGAAAAGATTAAAAATTACTATTATAACTGATTGTATCATTAAGTGCAAACTCAAAAGAACTCAAGTATTTGTTGTAGGAAAAGAAAGTATACCTTTCATATACTTCTGATTCACCCAGTATGAAAACTAGTCATATTTTAAAGAGATAAATAATTTTTTTTTTTTGGAGATGGGGTTTCTCTCTTGTTGCCCAGGCTGGAGTGTAATGGCGAGATCTCCGGCTCACTGTAACCTCTGCCTCTCGGGTTCAAGTGATTCTCCTACCTCAGCCTCCCGAGTAGCTGGGATTACAGGCATGTGCCACCACACCCGGCTAATTTTGTATTTTTAGTAAAGATGGGGTTTCTCCATGTTGGTCAGGGTGGTCTCGAACTCCCAACCTCAGGTGATCTGCCCACCTCAGCCTCCCAAAGTGCTGGGATTACAGGCATGAGCCACCATGCCCAGCTTAAAGAGATAAATAAATAAGTGATCCTTAGAAGAAATGGAACAGTTTGTAAGAAAGATAAATTTCAGACTTTTTGCTAGGAGGGAAAACTATTAGGGCTACATACTCTATCATTCTAGAACCATCTTCTTCAGAATGCTTCTGGGTGACCTTTTCAAGATAAATTTTTAAAAATACAGTAAAAGATAGCAGTGTCAGTTGTTTGTGGGTGAAAATATAAACCCAACACTGGATATAATACAGATCAGAAAATTTTATTGTTGAGATTACTTAAGGTTGTAAAAAAAAAATTTACCTTTTGCCTGTTCTCATACTGATATGTTATCATTCCATTTCTAAGGATTCCAAGTCAATTAATTTAGAACTTTTAAAAGTATTAATGATCCCTACTGTACCAAACTGTGCATGCTATAGTTCATCAATCTTACTCTTCCAATAAACCTAGAGATCTAAGTAAGATGAAAATGACAGCAGTCTCCATAATCTTAAAATCTAGGTGAAACAAATGTCCTTATGGTCCAATAATGTGTGTAATAAAATGTAACCAGGTCACCAGACCAACATACTAGTGTGTAACTTTAATTAAATTTCTAGCAGCAAAACACCTGAAATAGCCAATAACAAATGTTTTCATTGGATTGTACATTCATTTCTTTGTGAGAAATAATTTTAAAAAGTACTCTATTGTTCAACTGCAAGCAAACATGAAAGATATCAAAGATCTTGCTTTTCTCCATCTTTCCCAGTGGAATCAGGTGCAACTGGAACCTTATTAGTTTCAACAAAAACAGATTCAAAGGCAGCTTCCTGTTCATCCAAAGAATCAGCAACCGTGGCTCCTTTAGTTAGTGTTGGGTTGGTGAAAGATGGTTGCTGCTTGGAAATTTTACTTGATTCCACTGTTTTCCTACCTTTTCTTTTACCAAGAATTCTGACATAATTTGCAGGTATAAGTCCTGTTGTTTGGCCATCAAGACTAGCCAGAAGCCAACCACGCACTTTGGGTTGTTGTTCTGATGGAAAAAAAAGACAGTCTTGTAATTACAATATACTTTGGAGGTCCAACAGAATATTAATGGTAAAGTATCATATTCAGGAAAATCTGTTATGCTAACATAGTAGATAACAAATAGTACATGCATATATCTTCAAAATCAAATGCTGAGTAGGCTTAACAGTTCTAGGGTCCATTCTTCTATTTTTATTTTATACTTACTAAATATTTCCTTCTACCTTGAAGAACATACAGTTTGTATCAGTTGGTCCATTCATAGAGTAAGGAGATTTAGTTCTCTCAAAACTGAAAACAATGTCTTTCATATTTTAAATTGGAGTCTAAGAAATGAATATCTCATTCCTTCTCAACTGTGTAAGTTAGGAATAAGTATAGAAAAGATATACCTTTATGCACTCAGCTTTCTTAGCCTACTTTTGGCAAAAATATAAAATTCATTTCATGTCATTGTGATAAACAATCCTGAAGATAGTGAATATTAATTTCAATCCAAGATGGGCAAAAAATTGAAGACCTCTGTTATTTCTAGCCATATGGTAAATAAAGGCAATATTCTAAGCTTAAAGTAAGGAAGATTATTTAATGTATTCAATTTTCTATGGTATTTTCCTATCTTATCTATATCTTTAAAAAGCTGCTTAACTGTTACAATTTTAGTTCAACATTATAATTTAGGCACAATATAAGACTTTTTAATGTTTAATGCTCTATAATAACAGAAAAAAACAAATTTACCATGTCTATGACTGATTTTGTTCCAAATGCCCAAACATACGTTTCTTGAGCAATGGAGGAAAGCCAAGAAGCAAGCTAGTGTTAAGAGGCACTATTCATTGAAGAATGAAATATAAAATTTTTCTGAAGTGTTATTAAGTAACTGAAAGAAACCACATGACCCCTAATGAAAATTATCTGTGTTGTTCCTGTCCCTAACAATAAATCTTTAAAAAATCACTCGTTTGAAACCCAAAATAGTAAATTGCTATTTTCCCTATAAGAAAAATACGAGTAGGCCAGGCGTGGTGGTACACATCTGTAATTCCAGCACTTTGGGAGGCCGAGGTGGGTGAGTCACAAGGTCAGGAGTTCAAGACCAGCCTGACCAACATGGTGAAAGCCTGTCTCTACTAAAAATACAAAAACTAGCTGGGTGTGGTGGCATGTGCCTGTAGTCCCAGCTACTCAGGAGGTTGAGGCAGGAGAATTGCTTGAACCTGGGAGGCGGAGGTTGTAGTGAGCTGAGATGGTGCCATTACACTCTAGCCCGGGCAACAGAGCGAGACTCTGTCTCAAAAAAAAAAAAAAAGGGGGGGGGGAAAGAAAAATATGAATAGAATACCTAAAAGTCTAAAGGTTTGTATTTTATTTTTTTCTTGAGACAAGGTTACACTACATTGCCCAGGATGGAGTACAGTGGTGCTATTCCACAGGTGTGATTACAGTGTACTACAGCCTCAAACTCCTGGCCTCAAGTGATCCTCCTGCCTCAGCTTCTTGAGTAGGTGGGACTATAGGCACACACCACTGTACCTCGTTTAAGTCTAGGATTTTTGTAATAGGGATGAGGCAAAGATTTAGTAATCTCATCCCAAATTTTCAATTATTTACATAGTAATGATTTCAACTATTTGCATAGTAATGAATATTGAAGGTATTTCTTCCCTGCATAGAACGACCAAAGCCAAAAAAATGGTGAAGTTTCCATTAATAGATCCTTCCATGAAAAAACAGCCAGAGTTGTTAAAAGCACAAGGTCTCAAGTTGGACAAACCTAGATTCATAGTCCAGCTCTATTGCACCTTGGCTTTGTGACACTGGACAATTTACTCATTCTGAGTCTCAGTTTCTTCAAGTGTAAAACAAGGACAGGATAATAATTGTACCACTTCACAGTATTATTGTAAGGGTTAAATGAAATATGTAAAATACAGTACTTTGTATATAGTAAGTACTCAATAAATGATATGTTATTGTTATTAGTACCTTTATCAACAAAACATCACTTTTTGCAATAAACTTGAATCCCCACAAACACACATATTAAATAAAATCCATAAAAATTCTGATAATCATTACTCAGGAAAGGTGAAGGAAAAGGTCATTTTGCCTAGAGTCATTAAAAAGTATCAGTGACTTGGTCCAAAAATAAACCTGAGATGTGTATAAATTTCTTGCTGGGGTTCTATAATACTTCATGACAATATTTCCTAAAATACTCATGATGAAATTTCTGAGGTAAACACTATTGAAGTAATAAAGAAGCAACACCAGTCCCAGTAATCAAGGACTAACAGTAATGCTTAGATGATGCTAGATAATTTCTTTGCTTTATTAGATTTGTTATGTTTAGTTACTGACATCACATTTTTGTGTGGGGATTAACAGTTTGAAATTCAAGTATTTTGAGTTTAGAAAAGCCTATATAAATAAAGCCTTTCCTTATCTCAGTGAAATACTATTAGAATAGCTGCTGGGGCATTTCTTCCTGACTCCTCCAGATTTGGAAGCTCTAAATTGACATGAAAAAGAAGTTCTAGTAACTATCTCTAAGTTAACTCACAACGAACAAGATCATTTGTTGTAGTTTTTAATACTGCATTTATGAATATCAAAATTTACAGATAATTCCAACTTATTCATAATTTATTACCTTTGAGAGCTAAGTTTAGCATATCACCAGCCCGGAAAGAAATTTCTTCTTCAGATACGGCAGCAAAATCATATTCTGCTCTGGCGACTACATGGTCATCCTCACCACTTGCCCAGTTGATGCTGTCTATAAGCCAAATTAAAATTAGGTTAATAAAATTTACAAAAGAAAAATGCAGATATTTCACGGCCTATGGTTTGCAAACTGCATAAATTTGCCAAGAGAAAAGTCCTCCCCTCCCAAGTAAAATCTATAATGAATACTATGTTAAATCAACAATAGATCCACTAGAGATACCTATTATGAACTTTTTCCTTTCTTTAAGCTCCACTCTCCAGCTCCCTTACCGTGAGGCAGGGGTTGGCAAATTTTTTCTGCAAGGGTCAGAGAGTAAATATTTTAGACTTCGAAAGCCAAGAGGCAAAACAGGATGTTGTGCAATTCCTTATATAAAAAGAGGAAACAAAATTTCCATAAATTTATTGACAAGATTAAAAATACAATAACCATGTTCCTTTTTTGTAATATAGGTCTATTTGGAAGTTACTTAGAAGAATGAAATATTTTGGGGGAAGGATATTTCACTTAATTGGAATTCAATTATAAATATTCATTTGCTAATTCTAATTTGTAATAAAATTTGAGGTACTGCATTTTTGAAAATGCCTTTTCACACTGATAGGTAAGGTCAAATCCTAATATCAGTCTATAAGTATGTGGTTTTAATTGAGCATATTTATTAGTTGGGAGAGTAACAGGCCAGAATATAATTCTGTTAAATTCTTCTCTTGATATTTGCCTTTTACCATATTATTACATTGCAGATTAATCACTTCCAAATGAAGATTAAGTGAAAATTCCTCAATCGCACAGTTAAATGGATTTTGCAATATGGAAATTTCCTTTGTGCTTGCATGGAGGTAAAAAAAATGCTCTGGCATTGTATTAGCTTAAGCTTGGAAAATGTATCTGCTGCCAACTTGCATGGGAATGGAGATACTGCTTGTGTTAACTTCTGATGGTCTGAGAGGTATATAAAGCAGTGTGACATTACTTGTGAGTCAAACTATACTAGGTGTCGTCAAAACTTTACTCCAGTGTAAGTTTTGCATATAAGCACTGTTCTGCTTTGTGGTTTCAATTTGAATTACTTAAGAATATAGGCCAGGCACAGTGGTTCATGCCTGTAATCTCAGCACTTTGGGAGGCCGAGGCGGGTGGATCACCTGAAGTCAGGAGTTTGAGACCAACCTGACCAACATGGAGAAACCCTGTCTCTACTAAAAATACAAAATTAGCCGGGCATGGTGGCACATGCCTGTAATCCCAGCTACTCAGGAGGCTGAGGCAGGAGAATCGCTTGAATCCGGGAGGCGGAGGTTGTGGTGAGCCGAGAGCGCGCCATTGCACTCCAGCCTGGGCAACAAGAGCGAAACCCTGTCTCAAACAAAAAGAATATAAACAAGTCAGCTAGGCATGGTGGCTCATGCCTGTAATTCCAGTACTTTGAGAGGCTGAGATAGGGAATTGCATGAGTCCAGGAGTTCAAGACCAACTTGGGCAACATAGGGAAACCTTGTTTCTACAAAAAAGTAAACAAAATTAGCCAGATGTGGTGGCACGACCCTATAGTCTCAGCTTGACTCGCCTGAACCTGGGAGGCAGAGGTTGCAGTGAGCTGAGACTGCACTACTGCACTCCAGCCTGGGCAACTGAGTGAGGCCCTGTCTCAAAAAGAAAACAACAACAAAGAATATAACTAAGTCTGGGCTGGACATGGTGGTTCATGCCTGTAATCTCATTTAGCACTTTGGGAGGCTGAGGCAGGATTGCTTGAGGCCAGGAGTTCAAGACCAGCCTGAGCAACACAGTGGGATCTCGTCTCCACAATAAATAAATAAATTAGCCAGGTGTGGTGGTGTGTACTACTAGTACTAGCTACTTGGGAAGCTAAGGTGGGAGAATCATGTGAGCCCAAGAGTATGAGGTTGCAGTGAGCTATGATTACGCTACTGCACTCCAGCCTGGCTGACAAAGTAAAACCCTGTCTCCAAAAAGAACTCAGAATTTAACTAAGTCTGCAGTAAAAGGTGATTTCCAAAGCTGAATGGGTTTAATAACAATAGCTGAAAAGGCATTCTGTTCAGAAAAATTTCATTCTTGGCCTCAATCTCAAAAAAATAAAACTTAAGCCTTGTTCTGCCATTGAATTGCCATGCGGTAGGGCAAGTAGGGATCTTCAGCTTCTATATCTGACAAAAATTCACAAAACTGACAATGATTATGTCACAAGAGTGAATAAACTTTACCTCAACACTACCAGTTCAGTAACACATGATAAATTCAAATATTTTCTGCAATGTACCTGCTGATGAATAATAAAATGAATAACCACAGACAAAAAACCTGTATTTGCAAAAGTTTAACTTTTGTCCAACTAGGCCTCTTCCTGCTCCACCTATATTTTTCACCATTATCAGGTGCAACACATCTTAGCAGATTCAGGTTGTATAGAATCAGTGTTTTCACCTTCTTAGAAAATGTTCTTATCTGTAGTTGAACCATGACTATTCACAGAGGCTACTTCTTCAGTCATTTCCAATTCATCATTGACTTCTCAAACAACTAAGCGGTACTGTCTTTTTTTTTTTTTTTTTTTTTTTAGTAGAGACAGGGTTTCACCATGTTAGCCAGGATGGTCTTGATCTCCTGACCTCGTGATCCGCCTGCCTCAGCCTCCCAAAGTGCTAGGATTACAGGTGTGAGTCACCGCACCTGGCCTGTCTTTGTTTTATGCTACTTTAACAGAATACTACAAACTGGGTAATTTGTAAACAATAAAAGTTTATTTGCTCACAGTTCTGAGGACTCGGAAATCCGAGATCAAGGGGCATTTGTTAAGGGCCTTCTTGTTGCGTCGTAACATGGCAGGAGGAATCACATGGCAAGAGAGTGCATGCAAGAGAGTAAGAGGGCCGAACTAGCTTGTATAACAAACTCACTCTCAAGATAATGAACTCACTCCCATGATGGTAACATTTAGCCAACAAATTTAGCAAGTATTCATATCCATTGGGTCATGATGAGCCAAGGAAAAACATTCAAATCATTTGTTTTATTTTAAGTTGGCCATGTTGTTCAAAATGTCATCAACTCTTCAAGAAACTGTTCTCACTGAGAAGCTAATAACCTTAGACAAGTCTACTTACTCTGGACATATTTTTTTGGCTGTTGCAATTACAAGTAAACAGGTTTCCTTGCCTGGGTAACACATGAACCTCTCAGGAACTTATTTTGGTTGCAGCCTCATTTTATTTTATTTTTCTGTTGATGAGGAAATTCTGCTGCGATGAGAATTCCATTTTAAACTTTGACTGTTGGTTTTCTGTGATGAGTGCTCAATCTGGTAATGTTGATTTGTAGTATAGCCATTTAACATAGCTATAGTGTCACTGTATAATAAATATAGTTCTTTACCATCTAATTCAATAACAAAAAAATTCATACTATATTGTGCCTTGAAAGTATGACACTCAAAGTACACCTTTTTCTTGTGTGCCATGTATGTATTTGTAATTTCACAAAAAAAAACCACTGTGGTTTAACAATGTATATATTACTCATCATGCTATCAAGTTATAACTCAGTTACTGAAATTTGTAGTGGGCAGAGCAAAAGTGAAGCCATTGGAATTTCACATACAGTCTGCATGCAAACTATTCAATTCTGCTGTTACAGTGGAAAAGCAGCCATAACAGTATGTATGAAAATAAGTTTAGCTGTGCTCCAATATAACTTTATTAATGAAATTTGAATTCTATATTATTTTCCCATCACAAATTATTTCAATTTTTAAAACAATCTTTTAATTTTCCAACAACTGAAAAGTATAAAAACCATTTTTAGCTTGTGAGCTGTACAAAAATAGGAGCAGGTCAGATTTGGCCCACAGGACATGGTTTGCCAATCCCTGCTCTAAGCAGCTAAAGTAACAGGACCTCAGTTTTGCTTCTCCTCAAAAATCTCTTTGTATCATTACCGATTTCCTCTCCTTTTGACTCAGATAAAAAACTGTCATTCCTTTTTACCTGCCAGGTTCCGTAAGATCACACCCTCTCTTACTTCCTATAGGAGCTTCTTCATCATTTAACTCCTATCTTTCCCTTATTTATAACTGCTCCTTCTCTACTGACTCCTTTCTTTCAGCCTAACAACATTCTCAGATTTCCTCACTTCTGAAAAGACAAAGCAAAACAAAAAACTGACAATCACCCACCACAACAACTTGATCACTCAATTTGGCCATTCTTTTCCTCCCTCCTTCCATTCACTGCTAATCTTATCTTTTTCACTTCTAACTTTATTTGCCCTTTATCCTCTGCAGTTTGTCTTCTCACTACCAAAACTACTTCCTGGAGCGTGATGATTTCCAGTTGCCAGATCTAATAATCTCTTCTCAGTTCTTGAACTTATCGTAGAACCTTACATCATTCATCATCCTTCCACCCTTCCTCCATAATGCAGCAATAATATGGTTCTATTTCTGTTCTTCCTGATTTCCATCTTATTCTGTCTTCTTTTGTCTTTCTATGATAGTAGTATCATTCACTTACATTAGTTCTTCCATTTATTTGAGACCAGGGTCTTGCTGTGTCATCCAAACTGGAGTACAGTGGTACAATCTCAGCTCACTTCAGGCTCAACTTCCAGGACTCAAGCCACCCTCCCATTTCACCCTCCCAAGTAACTGGGACTACAAGCATGCACTACCACACCCGGATAATTTTTGTAATTGTCGTAGAGATAGGTTTTCCCTACGCTGTGCAGGCTGACCTTAAACTTCTGGGCTCAAGCGATTTGCCAGGCTCAAGCGATCTGCAGGCCTCAGCCTCCCAGTGTTGGGATTACAGGTGTGAGTAATCCCAATCTGACTGTATCTCAGGACCCATGTCACTGCCATGCTGAGCCAAGCCACCATCATTTCTCACTTGAATTAAGGTAATGGCTGCTTGACTCTCCTGATTGGTCTCTTATGCCCTAGCTCAACCTAAAAACCATTCTTACCAAAAAGATGTATATATATATATATTTATTTAATACTTTAAGTTCTCAGGTACATGTGTACA